ACAGCAGGGCAGGCCCTATGAGGAGAGACTACAGGACCTGAACCTGTTCAGCCTCCACAAGAGAAGGCTGAGGGGGGATCTTGTGGCCTGTTACAAACTGGTCAGGGGGGATCAGAAGGCATTGGGGGAGTCACTGTTCCCCCGAGCACAGCCAGGAGTGACCAGGAACAACGGTCACAAGCTAGCAGAGGGTAGGTTTAGGTTAGACATCAGAAGGTGCTATTTCACGGTCAGGGCGGCTAGGGTCTGGAACCAACTTCCAAGGGAGGTGGTGCAGGCTCCTACCCTGGGGGTTTTTAAGAAAAGGTTAGATGAACACCTTGCTGGGGTCATTTAACCCCAGTACTCTTTCGTGCCATGGCAGGGGGTTGGACTAGATGATCTTCTCAGGTCCCTTCCAACCCTAGAAACTATGAAACCCATGAGCACTTAGGCTCTGGCTCAGGCAGGGCCTAGGCATGAGTGCTGGACCTCCCTGAGCCACGCATCAGCTCCCCGGGACCCCGCAGCAAGGGGGTCAGGGCCCATGGATGGGTCTGCAAGCACAGCACAAAGAGGGGAGGCCTTGCCGTGGAGGATGCACCCTCTGAGGTTTCACCCTCACAACACTCCTGTGAGGCAGCAAGTTATATCCCCTAAATTACAGTGGGGAAGCTGAGGCAAAAGCTTTGAACGCCTTGCTCAGGCTTCACAAGTTCTGCGACAATCAAGCTCGGTTTGGTTAGTACAGAGTGGAACAGGCACATGTGACTTAGCAGGCAGGGATCAAGCCGCCTTTGTTCTGCTTGCTTGTCCATTTACTGAATGGACCTTTTGAATGCTGAAAATATGATCTGTTGCTATGCTGTTATGAGACACTTTTCTTCAGACCTTTTTTTTTTGACAGTTACACTAACTATAACCATGTTTATCCTGCAGATTAAGCCCAGAGCAAGTACAACACAACAATGTAAATAACAGCACTAATTTCATGATGGATTTTTTATTTTTGCTGTGTATCTAAACAATATCTAAACACTTTTCTCTGGACAACAGAGGAGTATTACCTCAGTTTTACATACAGGTAAACTGGCTATGAGGAGAAGCACAAGGAGGCATGGAAAATGTTAGTCTAATATGCAAAGAAATTCTTTTTCTTCCAGTTGCCGTGCACTACCACATTTCAAGGTCAAGTATTCTAGTCACCTCTCCTCTCAGTGTACATTTACATTCATACAAACACACAAATCATATAGGCTTATCATTATCACTAACCCATTTTGTTACTCGTTTGTTTATTTTTTTACTACCACCAATTGGTAAAAGCCAAGAAACTCAGATGCATACCAGGGCACTGCAGCCAAGAGAAAGTTGCTTCTTAATGTAAAGAGCAAATCTGTCTTCTGATGATAAGCTACAGTGAATATTCCTTATTGTTCTCTAAGATTTTTTCCTCCTGAAGTCATCACTATTTTATTATTAAAAAATGAAAATGAGTTCAAAATGTATTTCCTGAAATACCTTATGGTAATAACCAGAGATAAGCCAAAACAGGAGCCTCATATACCAGCTCCCACATACTTTATCCTTGGGAAGAGGGGAGTACTTGATTAAAATCCTAGATGCAAACAAGTATTTTCCTGCCAGGTCAGACACAGGATTATTTTCTCATTCTGATTTTCATAGATTTCATAGACATTTGGGCTGGAAGGGACCCTGGAGGATCATCG